GGTTAAAGCAACACGATGAGTATCATTATGAAAAATGGGTCAATATGAACCAAAAAGTTTTTTAAAAATCAACTTGCAGTCACAACAATCGAAGATCACGATGATCAACACAGGACTCTAGGTATATAACCACAACAGCAGTTAAAGAGCAGCCTCTGCTGCTACGGTAACAAGGATTCATGTGCAGCCCGTCACAACATGCAGAAGTCAGAGCAGTTTTCTGGCCTGTGTTATAAGGAATGTGGACTGAGTCTAAGACAGACCGATGGGTTGTCTTATGGGTGTGTAGAATCGAGTGTTTTATCAACCTTCTCCTTCTCAGCATCTCGATCCCTTCACCACCCTGATTCTAATATGGTGCTGATGGAGCTGTCCGGGGATTGGATGGGAGTGAATGTGGATATGTGTTTGTTTAATGGTGTGTATGGCCTGTGGGCTTGGAGTCGGGGCCTGTGGCTGTTTATCATGTTTCATTTATATCTAGTCCTTGGACGTGTATTTGTATTTTACATTACCGGTGTGTCGACCTGCTTCAACACTTTAGATGGAAATAAACCAGTGACTGAAAGCGGTACAGTGCATCTTTTCTCCTGTAAGATTAACATCTTTGTGTCTGTTAAGTGTCTCTTGCGAGCATCCGACTGAACGCTAAACCGCCACAGTAGCTGGTGAAGGTCTTCTAATTAAGCTACATGAGCATTTAGCTAACAATAATACATTTTGTTAGTTTCAGCATTCAGAGCGATGCAGCTTTGGCCTGACTGTGTTTCATTTTTCAGTCTGTTCCCTTCCTCTTACCTCTCTATCGTCTCTCCTCCACTCCTCAGGTGTACCCAGCGCTGCCACAGTGGTGATCGTGATGTGCATTGCTGCCCTGGTGGTGGTGGTGGTGCTGGGCATATACCGCATCCACTTGACCCACCAGCAGGAGGTGAAGCTGGCAGAGTCGGCTAAAGAGTCAGATGTGAGCTGGGACGACTCCGCTCTGACGATCACGGTCAATCCGATGGAGGTAGGAGGGCCGGGGAATGTGGATGGAAGCTGGTAGATACAGTTTCTGTGTCAAGTACCCATCCCCCTTGGAGGATTTCACATTTTATTGCTTTCAACTTTGAGTCATGGGCTTCTCAGACACGATTTTGCTAAAAGACTCTTCATGTCAAAGTGAAAACTGATTTCTACAGAGATTGCAGAAATATTCACCCCTTTTATTGAAAAGCACAAGTCAGTGGATTGATGTAAGAAAATGTCTATGTCACTAGTTGTCTGTGAAGATTCTCAGTCATCCAGGTCATGGTTATTCTCGTAGATTAATCGTAGCAACTGGACTTGCTTGAGTTCCTTGAAGACATTCCACCTCTCATCCAAGAGGCTTCATCAGCTCTGACTGACTAGTTGGGAGTTCCACATACTGATATCCTGAAGGAGCC